GGTCATATACCAATTGGTTTTGAGATGGAAGTCTGTAAACTTTTGACAAGTTTCTTGGATATTGTGCCAGATTCCTCGACAGAGCAGCGATATCATGTGATTCCGCTGAAATTGAAGAAGCAAAAGCGGTTGTTAGGCTTGTTCCTATATGGATGAGTTGCTTAATCTACGCCATTGTATATGCGCAATCCACTACTTTCTTCACAAAGCAAGGAGCCACAATGGATAGGTCAATCTCACAAGGACTCGTAGTCCCTGCAGCTACGCTCCAATGCGTCATAAGCCTAACAATGGTTGTTTTCGTCCCAATCTATGACCGTCTACTCGTCCCTATCGCTAGATCATTCACTCAAATCCCATCAGGAATCACAATGCTTCAAAGGATTGGCACAGGGATTTTCCTCTCCATTCTAGCTATGGTGATAGCCGCCTTGGTCGAGACCAAAAGGCTCCAAGCCTCTCGGGATGATTTCAACAGTCCGATTACCGTGTGGTGGTTGATTCCACAATACGTAATCTATGGAGTCTCCGATGTGTTCACAATGGTTGGTTTGCAAGAGTTATTCTACGACCAAGTCCCTAGTGAGCTTAGGAGCGTTGGTATGGCTTTGAATCTAAGCATATATGGGGTCGGCAACTTCCTAAGCAGCTTCATGATATCAATCATTGATAAAGTCACGAGCCAGTCTAGTCAAACGAGCTGGTTCGACAACGACCTGAACCAGGCTCATCTAGATTACTTCTACTGGCTACTCGCTTGTCTTAGCTCCATTGGTTTAGCCTCCTACTTGTGGTTCGCTAAATCGTATGTCTACAACAGACCAAACACCTTCTAAAGCATTGTCTTTTCTCTGTTCTGCCAACTGAGCCAACCAAATCAAGATTTACATACTAGCATTTTTATTTTTTGGTCACATACATACTAGCATTTATGATAGGGGATTTTTGAAAAGTACCCCAAAGTTTATATGAAAATTTGAAAAGTACACTTAATCTTGTAAAGTTGGAAAAATATACATTTTTATTACGTAAAAGTACGTTAATACCCTTATACAT